ATTCCTTTCCAAAACAAAGGAGCTATGGGTGCTTTGGCCATGGGAGGTGGCTCTCTGATGTGGATGACTCTCCAGAACCAAGTCCCTGGGTTATGTCCTACACCACACAGCAGATGCTCCTATAGAAGTAGAATCATTCTCCTGGCATGAACATGCTAACGTTAACAAACCGTATCACTGCATTATACACTACCACATAGCCCTTAGACTGATTCTGCCACCACGATCCTGTTTCTGGTACAACATGTTTTTACTAAGGCTACCTGCTCAGCCTCTCTCTTAATTTTTCCCACTGGTAAGCAAGCCTGCCAGATGCATAATTCCCAATATATATAGTAAGAGAATAAATATGGTACGAGAATAAATGGAAATAAAGATAATGTATTTACTGGGGACGCACATATAATTTTATTTTTTTTAGAGTAGTAGTTGAAAATAATATTATTTTATAAACTCTGGGCATTTTTGAAACAACTGAATATTGATCCCCACTTAATGAAAACATGAAGCAGAAAGATGACAGGAAAGAGGAAGGAAATTGAAAGGATATCTCAATCAAGCATTCATTTTGTTGAACTGACTGTTACTTAGATAACTATATAACATTCAAAGCAGCAATGTATATACATAGTAAAGAACAATACTTCCAGTAGAAGACAGTCCTTGTGATACTGCTGTGTTGAGCAAAGCACTGATACACTACTAAATGTAAATGAGGTGTTGGATATATTTTTTTTAAATTTAATCAAATTATCTTTATGGTGGAAGAATTTCAGAAAGTTAATTAAGCCTTTCCAGCACTCCAGTTTTCTCTTTATTGCCCTAGTCACCAGTATTTCTTCCTGTTAACTGACTGGACATGCTCAGAACATACCACACTACATGCCAGGCTGCAGAGACCTTGCTCCACTTGAGTCAATATACCTACAGCTGTGTCCTTTACAATCTTCCACAGCATCTTGGAAGCAAAGGCAAAGATCTCTCTGACTTCCACCTCACAGCAAAGGAAAACATTTATTACTGCAGTTACGTCTGTATAGGAACAGATGACTCCGTCCTCAAATTCCTTCTAACTAGAGCAACCTTTTCATCCTAAAGAGCTTTTGTGCTGCTACTATGTCCACGTGTTGGGCGAACTGTTTTCTCTATCTTGTCCCTAGCAAAGATGCCTCATCCTCAGACCGGCTGCTTCTCAACACAAAGATAAAAATTTGCAGTTAGATACTAAATGGCTACTGTGTAATCTTTTAAAATCTAAATCTTGTAAGCTGAGCACTAATAAGGAACGTGCAAGTTTGTCACTGGGTCTTTCTAACATGCTTCACTGACCATGAGCTAATGCAAATGAACACAAATATGTTGCTTTTAAAATTTAAAGCAAAGAGCCGCATAAACACAATTTTTAGAAATACATTTTTGCAAAGACATTTGTATTTGACCCTCTGAGGGAGGGAACAGGACAGCCAGACTGTAAGATTTCTAAAGGAAATTTTACTGGCTTTTAAAGAGAGTATTGGGAACTCATCCAAATGATTTCATGGAAACCTCGAGCTGCTGTTATCCCACTGAGGTAGGAACTTTTTGTAGTAGCGAATTGTAAGAATAAACTACATTTTCAATGTATGCAAGTTTCCTTCAGGCAGGCAACCCTTTTTGTAGTATACAGAGGAAAAAAAAAAAGCTACAACAAAAGGTCAAAATGTGACTAGATCGCAGATTTCATTGAAACTTTGGTTCATCAAACTCAAGTGTTAGGAAGGGAAGCTATCTTGAGATCCTATATTGCCTTGAGATACCTGTCTTACCCTACAAAAACCCAACACTTTACATAATTCCTATGTAAGGTGACAAATATTTACTATTTGTAAACATTCAAATATCCTCGAGAAGTTCTAACCCTTTTACTGGAAGTGATCACTGCCCAGCCTGACCTGACATTAGATGCATCATATTTTATCCCCTCTGTCAGAGGCCTCAAATCAGATGATTCCTCAAGCTGCCAATTAAAAACATTTTTAAAATGTGTGCAAGACCCACACTACAGTGATCCTACAACTTTTTTTTTTTTTGTCAAACACATCCAGATCAGTTACACACACCCCAGCTTCAGAATGGAATTATTTTTTTTTTTACCAGTTTCTTATGGAATGGTTCTCGAATTCTTATCTAGAATAAGTCCTCCTTATGCACAACAAATTAGAAGAACAGATTTCAATGACACCTCCAAATCTGCTGCTCGACATGCTGTGTTTGAATGGGAGCTGTAGTAAAAGCAGAAGACAATCTTTTTGCAGTTTCTTAGCTCACCTTTAGAAAAAGTACAAAGGTCTTTAAAATATAATACAGCATCTGTACTATGAAACCAAGAAAAACACAAAACCACAGTCAGTAGACGTACAGCAGCAGAAGCAAAGAGGCTGAAGCTCTGCTCAGAAAGCAGGAAGAGGAGGAGCTGCGTTACAGAGAGCGGGTACCAGAGCCTCTCCGACCACCACTTGCAGAAAAAGCCTCAAGACAGACAATGCCAAGACCATGAACAGTCTTTACTTCTATCAGTTGTTTCACAGCACAATGAGACACAGCACAAAGTTTGTACAGCGGGATCTGCAGACAAGTTAAAAACAGGCAATTATCTTTAATAAAAAGCATCAAGTCTGAATGTGAAAATACGAAGACAAACAATATTGCAGATAATGATCACCTTGCTTGCCTGTGATTGTCTAAGAAGTCCAACTCACTCACTTCTCATAGTGCCCTGAACATTCTCCGCACCATTTTCTCCAAACACACTAGTCAGTGTAAAGCTTAATGGGCCCCAACTAATACATGCAGTATGTTTCATAACCTCTTCCTCTTGCTTTCAAACCCTGTTTGCAGCGTATGGGGAGATGCAACGACTCTCGTCATACAACATTCTGATTCACAAAGAAGCAGCACAAGTGTTGTACATAATTTAATTTGCACTTCTGTATATAAATGTTTACTATATTGCACACTATTGCAGCACTTAAAAACATCTAATTATTTGCAAAAATTAGTAAAATACTTTAAAGGATTTAAAAATAAGGGTTTTAATGCAACTGACAAGATAATAAAAAAGCAATTTACTTAATGAGATACAATCCTTTATGTTGGAAATGAAAGTTACATACAACTAGAGTACAATTAAAATATACCATATAGTTCAACACTTAATTCCTCAAATGTGTAAAATTAACAAGCTTCTACTGTCATAGATATACAATTTTTCCATATTGTGAAAAGGATTTTTCAAATTAAATACAGGTAACATAATATTCCATCGTTATATTTTATGACTGTGTTTAAATGAGAGGGTTGTATAATACTCACATTGTCAAATGTACTCACTAATGCCTTGGAAATTGCACACTTCCCCTCCTTTTCCAAAATAGAATCTCATTTCCATACTGAAGTCTATTATGCCATATTGGAAAAGTATTTTACTTTCTAACAGGATTTTCATAAAATTAAAAAATAGCACAATATCATGGCATTAAGATGACTTTTCCACTTATGCCCACATAGAATTTAATCTGGCTATCAGACAGACATGTCAGAACCAATTTCCTAGACTTTTGTCTTATTGTACACGCAAGATGAATGATTACAGTATTTTACAAAACAGAAAAATCTCTGGATCTTACTAGAATTATAAATGTAATGATTAAAAATTAAAATCATAACAGAATCAAATTGTGATCTCCAACATTTATTAAAATCTTTTAAAGTTCATAAACGACAACAAAGTTACTGTAGAATTTATCGCATACAGCTAGCATACAGCAGCATGTCCTTGGTCTAAATGAAATACAAAAGAGTTTAACATTTTCATACAAAGGATTTCTTTAAATTTATTAATGTGACGATATATCTTTGTTACATAAAATTTGCTACAGCAAAGTATCTGATACTTTTCTTGCACTTATGTAAATATGGGTGGACAAAGACTGCATTCAGTGTCAGCCTCCTAATGACGTTGTGCAAAAATGCTCAACAACCTAAACATACAGAATGTTGGATGGTACATTTCATACTCTTTTGTAAAATGTCTACAAAGGCTTTTCTTAAAGGAGTGTCATACAGATTAAGAGGAGGGAATGCCAGTGGTTTATTTGCACTGACATTCAAACAAATACAATGGCTATGTATGAATATAGCTCATTTTTTTTAAAAACAATTCATCCTTGTATGATGCATGTAAATTTATCATAAAATATGAGTCTAGTTTAAACTGTTTAGATGTGCTGTTTTAAGACAGGTCACTGAGACAGCCAAAATCAAGTGTACAAATAAAACTACTATGAATAAGTTTAAAAGCAACCCCCAAAAAAGTGCTGAGCCACTGATTATTAACATTGAAATAAATGTGTAAAAGTGCCCAAAGCTAGCACATGGTAGCAATATCTTTTAAGTCAGTTGGTGAGAGTATACAAAACATAATTAAGCCCAAATACTTATATCGGTGTGACCATACATTCTGTTTGATTGAAAGAAAGTAGGTTAGAAATGAAGACACAACGCAACTAAAACAAACCCAGCTGTTGCAGTTTTTAAACTTTGTCTCTTTTCTTCGTGAATGAAGTGCTGTAATTAAAAAGAAAGTGATTGTAGCAGTACTCCATCCTCAGTTTACTAATATAGTATACCAGAATAAAAACTTGGCAATAACCTCTTATTCTTAACAGCTAACAAAGAAAAAAATAACCGTGTTCATCCAGCGATGCATCTAGAACATTATTTTGCATTTGCTATATCATTTGTTTGTCACAGCTAATGGCAGAGCGCATTTTGCTTTTTGTGGTGTGGTGGTTTTTATTTTAATGGATACCTTTTTTAATCAAAAAAGGCTCAAAACAAGGAATACTTCAGGAGCCAAACATTGGCTTTTTTAAAAAAAAAAAAAAAAAGAAAATGTGAATCAAAATGAATCATATTCTCTACAATACTGACCAAAACTTCCTTTAAGAGTTTAGGGTTCATGTTCTTAAAAAAGCCATTTCATATCCGCCAACTGAAATGCTGGTAAGTTGACTTGGTTAAACATGGTCGAAAATCCAGACCAGGTGGAATCACTCCCTCTCACGAGACTGTAAGCTTTCCATGCTACAGTCTAGTTATGGCAATTTACCTAATACCTAGGTGGGAAATACAAAGGAAGGAGGCAGTGATGAAAACTGCAGGGATGTAGAAAACCAAGGCACGGGGTCTAGCTACTGTCCCCTACTCAAGCCATCCAATTGATTCTATTGAATTTTGGTCAGCCTCCAGGAAGAAATGTTTTTAAGTTAATTTAGCAGACATTTATATGGCGATAAATACTACCTTCAAAAACGCTAAAAATGTTGGCTAGGTTTAGTCTGAGCTACTAAAAAATTATTATAAATCGTAGCATCAGACACAAGACAGACAAGAATTATTGGCTGGCACAGACTAGAAGCAACATTTATCTTTCACTTCAGTCTAAATCACACTAGCCGCAACACCTTCCATTTCACTCACACAAATAATACATTATTCAAAATAAAATGGAGCATTCTTGGGTAAAAAACTACTTCATTTTAAAGGGGGAAAATGAACAATACACAGAAACAAAGAACGACAGAAACCAAAGTTAAGTAGGAAAGTGGTCTATTATTCTGTGTTACTGCACAAACAGTGCTTGCTTAATTGTGCCTAGTTAGAAGGGTTGGTGCAAACTGCACACATGGAAGATGGCAATAAAGACCTCAGTCAGCTTTGTGGAATGAAGTAACTAGGTAACTGTTTTGACATATGATGGTCTCAGCTCCACCTCATCTGTTAACAGAGTGCAAAGATCCCAATGTGAGCCCTGATGTCATCTTGTCCTCTTACTCCTACTAAAAATCAGCAAATTCTTTTGCACATTTTTCTGTTAGAGACGCACGAATATCTTCTTCTTCATAGTCATCAAAGTTGCTGGTATCTCCAGGGCCTCTGCACTTTGGTATGAATGGAGCTTCTACCTGTATTTGGGGAAGGAAAAAACAAAAGAAACACATGAAATGTTATCGGCCTAATACCTTTAGATTTAACACTGTGAAAATGAGCACAATATTTCCACTAATTCTCAAATCCTGCCAAGAAACCAGCTATTACAGTGAACCAGCTTAAAGTTGTGGCACAGAAGTAAAACCAGTGTAAGAAGGTGCAGGACTAGATGTATGAATGTAAGCTGAAAAGGACTAATATCTCACAAACATCTATGAAAAATTATTTCCAGTTCAAAACAAAGTTTAGTTCTCTTCCTGCAGAGGACACTCTACTCTCAGCTCATCAGCTCTGTGGTGCAGCTCCCAGTGCAGCAAGGGCTGTGCCTAACAGTTGCACGGTCATGGTGGAAGGAGAGAAGTAGACCGATTGCCATCAACACTACTCAAAAATCTCAGGGCTGTTTGGAACCCCACTCCTCCTACTTACCAACAATCCACTATTTCCAATAAAACCTAACATAATACAAGTTTAAAACAATTTATTCTGCATCTCCGACAGTTACTCCTTGGACCTAACCGTGAGAAGTGAAAGCCTCCTCAAAACTAGGCCACAATTGAGAGACAAGCAATGACTTGAAAGGGTCACTAAAAGATTGCACAGAAAGCCAGAGCAGCTCTAATTAATGATGGAAAACCCCTTCTGGTAAAGACTGCTTGCATATCCTCTCAAATCCACATACGTACTCGATTAGCCTTGAGATTCAGCACATCTCCTGTCAACTGTAGGGCAGTAAGCCATTCACACTCCGGTATTGGAACCAGTCATTTTCCAGGACCCTTTTATAACTGCTGCTTCTTAAAGTCGAGGGAACCTGCAGCTTTTTGAGGTTGACCTTAAAAATAAAATTCTTAGGTTTGGCTACAAATTAATCTTTCTGTCCCAATTACTGCACTTCAGCCTCTACTTATCTTGGAAGTTAAACTAAAGAAGATAAGAAGATGACCTTAAATGAAGATACGGGTCTGCACAAGGACATACCTGCATTTTTGCTGGCTAGCAGCTTATGGTGTCCCTACACAGTCGGGGAAAAAAAAAAAAAAAAAGAAAAAAAAAAAAAGAGTTGTTCCCAACTTGCAGACACTGAAATGGTATTTTAGGGAACCCACTACTAAATTCCACCTTCACTCAGCTAATATTTATTCAAATCTTAATCCTTCTAGTCTATCACACCTCATGAAGTTCAAAATTAAGTTTAATTACTTTCTAAAATAACCTAAATTTTAGAATCAACTGCATGTTGAAGGAAGGACTAAACGGGGTTTGGGGTTGATGGGAGGCAATGATGAAGAATGGATGGCAAGGAAGGAACCAGAGAGAATGGAAGACCAGGGAGAAGGAGAGATGCTCTACTGAAACAGGTCTAGGACAAACTGGAGTTGGAGGCATGATCATCAGTACCACATTTCTCTTTTTCACTTGACAGGAGCCTGATTTATCCACCTTTATGGTAAGCAAAATCACGGAGTTAATGCAAACTTAAACCTGGAATGCAAAGTAATCAGAGAAGTATCTCTCTCTGGGATGTCCCAAGGAGGACGTGTGCCAGAGGCAGCATGGTGAGGAGACAGATAAGCCGGGCAGGCACGGCTCCAGCCAAGGCAGGGGATCAGACGCTCAGTGCCCCAGGTAGATTACGTTTATTCAAGAAAACACATGCTGTGGTAACAGCCACTGTGAAAACCTGGTATAAACCTGAAGTTTATTGCTGTATTTCTATGACTGCTTAAATGATATTACAATCTATGCTGTTGTTTCAGACCCTTACTGTTACAGTATTTATTCTTTATAATCAGAAGCTTTAAACTTATTCAGCATCAGTTTTCACAATCCTTTAAAACTAGTAATAGTTATTCTGACTGCACTACTAGTTCACATTTTAAAATATTTCTTGCTCCTGTGAAAGTAATTCTCTACAGCAGTGCACTAGCAATGCTAAGAATACTTAGTACACTATTAAAACATCTGATTTAATATTATGGGGCCTGGGTGCCCTCAAATGGCATACTGGGGAATGCAACTCAGTGCGTATAAAACTGCCTTGTAAACAGGCACTAAGAAACAAAGAACAGATAATTACAATTCTGCAATGGGGAATCTTTTCTTAAAACATCTATACTTAAAAGAAAGAATACAAGATGTGTTAATTGTATCCTGTCTTCTAGTAATTAATACACTAGTGAATACCTACAACAACTGTACTGTCAGTTTCTGTAGCCAAACAACCAGTTTCTTTTTAGAAACTATTGTTAGTATTTAGGCTTGGCCTTTAAAATACTGCTGTTACAGCAGCAAGTTCACACCTCTATAATCACGACTGTTAGCATTTCAACAATGTAAACCAATTCTTTGAAATGTTATTGCTTGACTCTAACATTTTTACCAATACCTAGACAGAAAAATATTTCTCCACCTGAGTCTTCTGAGACAACACCAATAAAGTTATTTTAGTTTTTTCTTGCTGTCTATTGAAAAACCAAGAATTCAGAGGTTGCACTTAATAAGTAATTTCTTAGGAATATGTTTCTAGTAACTCACTAATCTACAGATATTTATCTTTGACTCTGCCTTGAAGGGGAGAGGGAGCTTTAGAGCTACTAGAAGACAGAGTTGGGCTGAACTGTCATCATCCTCATCCCTTTCCCCAGTTTTCTCTCCCAGCTCTGCTTCATTCATCCTGGCAGACGCTCATGTGCTCCTCTTGCACCAGTATGTTAATAGCTGCATGTGCTCTGAAAATATTCTCATTTCTCTCTGTTGCTTTCATTCTTATGCAAGTCTGAAGTTCATAGTACAAACTGGGCATGAACTTTCTGAAAATCACATTGCAAGTCATGTTGGTCAGGCAAGGCTAGAAAATCTTTCTAAAAAAAGCCAAAAAACAGCATTCAGCAGGGCTCTCTCCAGTACTGCAGCTTACGGAACTGCAGTCAATTAAAGCGTAGTGTCAGAAGGCAAAAGCTCCTCAGCAGACACTGAGGACCGAGCAGACACTCTCGACATTTGATCCTGTCCCAATCACACATAAAGCAAGAGCAAGGAGGGTGTATACTTCTTTAGCAGAAAAAGAAAAGCTCTAGCTCTTCCACACTGAAGCACAGTCTGACTACTAAGAACTAGCTAGAAAGGAAAACAGATTCCTCTCTGCTGTGGAGGAGTATTTATAGATGCCACTATAGCAGGGGTTAAATAAAAAGTGAGAGAGGCAGGAGATGGCTTATTCTGAGATATTCCAGAAATAGACTACAGCACAACACATGTTAAGAGAACATGAATGTACACAAACATCCAAGATAAAATACCAACAAGAAACAAACATAATTCAATCAATATAAACTCTTCAGAGTGTCAAACATTAAACTGCTTTCAGTTTTTCTAATTAAGAGTGACAGATATAGGAAAGAAAAAATAAGCAAAATAATTATAAATTTTACTTCAACCCCTAAAAGACCTGTAACAGCTTTGATCAGGAAGGGTCTTACCTTTCTCTGATAAATGGCAATCCAATCTGTAGTTGCAAACCACTTGTGGTTCTTTATGTCATTTACACCATTCTTGAGATTTCCATATCGTTTGGTCAAATCTACCTGGAGTAAATTTCTTAGAAGATCCTTTAGGTCTGAACTGAAGTGTGATGGAAACCTTACCTAAAAATATACATCCACAACATTAAAAACAATATACAAATGTGATTCTTCCCCCTGTGAAGTAAAACAGCATTTACACAAAAGGAAATATTTGGGCCATTTTCTATTTTTCCTCTAAAAACAAATAAAGTAGGAACGCAGGAAAAGAGATGATTATTGTTGCACATTTATTTCTATTTCACAGAGTCTCTAGCAACATCACCACCTTGTGCATCTACCATTCTATGAACTGAAAGTTTCTAGAGCTGATTGAGTTGAGGAAAAATATTAATTTAACATTATAATGATAAAAAAAGCTGAATTTAACTTGGTGTCTCACCAACACACCATTATCACAAGACATTCTCAACTATATTCTAGGATTTTTTTTAATATTAAATTATATATATATACACATATGCATACATAAGATACAGTACAGTATAGCATATATACAGCATATAAATATATAGATACACTGAACATTCAGCAATCATATCTGAAAATTCAATGTCGAACTTTATGCTCTATTGTAATCTATTTCTGGTAACTAAATACACTAACATCAAAAGTCTTACATAAATAACACAGCGTTATTTGAAGATAGCACACGAGTGACTTTCCAACACAATTAATTTAAACCTGGTTAGAAAGCATTTGAAGATGATTTCTGGGATGTAATTATGTAGATTTTTACTAGCAAAAGATCTACTGACACCATTTGAGATGGAAGAGAGAAGAAAGGCGACAAGAACAGGCAAAGAGTTGTATCTGTCATGCCCAGAGTCTCAGCGTTTGACAGTCTCTTTATTTAGCTGATCAGTTATGACGTAAATGCAGAACATGTAAATGACTTATCATAAAAACATGTTTCAAAATCAAGATGGCTGATTATCAAGGACACTGCTTCAGTTTACCTGTCAATATGGCTCTGCTGTAGTACATGAGAAATTCACTTAGTGAATGTAATATCTAGACAGCTGAGAAGTAAGGAAACAGCAACTCATTTTTTCAGTAGAGTACTAAGTACACGAAGTAGATTAAATGAAAGTCTTAAGGTTATAAAGGAATCACACTGCTAGCTGAGAACTGAACGTTAGGCTTTCTGGAGTTCAAGTCCAGTGCTGTTTCTGCAACTATCCATCCATGGACTCAGTAAAAAAGGCAGATGATCAACAGTACAAATGTCAAGCAAATTGGATAAAACTCCAAAAAATGCCCAATTTTTTTCAGTTTAGAAGTTAAACTTTTCTTTAAAAATATATCTTCCTAAATGAATTCCCATATATTCACGGAGACAGCTGAAGTGTCCCAGTGTTACAGCCTTTCAAGTAAGGTCCTAAAGAGGAATGAGTCTCACTGCAGCGTACCACAGGGTACTTCCCTTGATTAGAATATCACAAGTACGTAAGGTGTGGTGCAGCATGTGTTTATGTAAGGACAAGGAAGAGAAGAACCATAACACACCAAGTGCTAAGCCGCTATCCATCGTATTTCAGAAGTCGTGGCAGTCCAGTGAAGTTCCCACTGACTGGAAAAGGGGAAACATAGCCCCCATCTTTAAAAAGGGAAAAAAAGAAGACCCAGGGAACTACAGGCCAGTCAGTCTCACCTCTGTGCCCAGCAAGATCATGGAGCAGATCCTCCTTGCAACTATGCTAAGGCATATGGAAAATAAGGAGGTGATTGGTGACAGCCAACATGGCTTCACTAAGGGCAAATCCTGCCTGACTAATTTGGTGGCCTTCTATGATGAGGTTACAGCACTGATGGATAGGGGAAGAGCAACTGAAATCATCTGCCTGGACTTATCCAAAGCATTTGATACTGTCCCACATGACATCCTTGTCTCTAAACTGGAAAGACATGGTTTTGATGGATGGACCACTCGGTGGATAAGAAATTGGCTGGATGGTCACACTCAAAGAGTTGTGGTCAACGGTTCAATGTCCACGTGGAGGCCAGTAACGAGCAGTGTTCCTCAGGGGTCAGTACTGGGACCAGTACTATTTAACATCTTTGTTGGAGACATGGACAGTTGGATCGAGGGCACCCTCAGCAAGTTTGCAGATGACACCAAGTTGCGTGGTGTTGTGGACACGCTGGAGGGAAGGGATGCCATCCAGAGGGACCTTGACAGGCTGGAGAGATGGGCCTGTGAGAACCTTATGAAGATCAACAAGGCCAAGTGCAAGGTCCTGCACGTGGGTCGGGGCAATCCCAAGCACAAGTACAGGCTCGGCAGAGAATGGATTGAGAGCAGCCCTAAGAAAAACGACTTGGGAGTGCTGGTGGATGCGAAGCTCAACATGAGCCGGCAATGTGCACTGGCAGCCCAGAAAGCCAACCGTATCCTGGGCTGCATCAAAAGAAGTGTGGCCAGCAAGTTGAGGGAGGTGATTCTGCCCCTCTACTCTGCTCTCGTGAGATCGCACCTGGAATACTGCATTCAGCTCTGGGGTCCCCAACATAAGAAGGACATGGAACTGCTGGAGTGGGTCCAGAGGAGGGCCACGAAGATGATCAGAGGGCTGGAGCACCTCTGCTATGAAGACAGGCTGAGAGAGTTGGGGCTGTTCAGCCTGGAGAAGAGAAGGCTCCGGAGTGATCTTATAGCAGCTTTCCAGTACCTAAAGGGGGCCTACAGGAAAGCTGGAGAGGGACTTTTTACAAGGACGTGTAGTGATAGGACAAGGGGCAATGGATTTAAACTGAAAGAGGGCAGATTAAGATTAGATCTAAGGAAGAAATTTTTCACTCAGAGGGTGGTGAGGCACTGGAACAGGTTGCCCAGAGAAGTTATAGATGCCCCAACCCTGGAAGTGTTCAAGGCCAGGTTGGATGAGGCTTTGGGAAACTTGGTGTAGTGAAGGGTGTCCCTGCCCATGGCAGGGAGGTTGGAACTAGATGATCTTTGAGGTCCTTTCCAACCCTAACCATTCTATGATAAGTGAGCACAAAGGAACATGAAGAGATAACATTGGCTGGCAGGAGAAACAACAGAATGGTCATGTTTTCGTGCTATCTGGCACACTAAGAGATATTCATGAAAAATAAAGAGGGAGAAGTTGGAATCACTTTTAAAATATTTTATACAACAATGAAAGCTGAACAGAACATTAGACGTGCCTTGACTTACAGGACTGCAGGAGTAAAAAACCTACTACGAATTATGGAAACTCTTTAGATCTTCTCAAAAGCTGCAAAAATATTTATAGAAAATAGCTAGTATACATCTAACAGCAAATATACATCTAAATAATTGTTAATAGCTGTTGGGTCATTTTTATCCAAGCATAAAAGGATATAATACCACAATGTCTGTAAATTTCATAACTGCATTTTAAATTTGAAGGCAGGGAATAGATTTTTAGAATTTTCATTTTCAATATTACTGTGACAATGTCTGTACTTTGGAAGTATACATTTCAAACTTTTCCCATATTCTTTCCAAATTGCTCACTGTGTAGTAGACAGTAAATTTGGCATCTACTCCACACAAAAAACAGGTTCTGCAAAGACAAACAACAGCATTTGTGACAATACAAATAGCCTTCGCTCACCTTGCCAGACACAATCTTCTCATAAATTTGAATGGGCTGATCTGCAAAGAACGGGGGATATCCAGCTGCCATTTCATAGATTAACACCCCTAATGCCCACCAATCCACTGCCTTGTTGTAACCCTGTATAAAATGAGAAACACCACTGTTACTACCATTCCTAACAGAGTTTAAGATTTCCAATGTTGATCTACGGAATACAAAGAAAGCAAATTCATTATTGCTTGTTTAATATGGAACTTACAACCTAGCTCAAACTGAAGCTCACAGATTCCAACAGCAATACACTCAAAACCTAATTGAGGGATGACAGTGAAGCAGTGCTAAAAGTGAAACATTTTGCACACATTCCTGTGCTGAGTTTCAGTGATGACTTTACACTGCTGTGACAAGACTCCCTAAGTGACAGAAATGGGCACAAATTTATTTACTTAAAACCAAAAATAATTTTGTTACAGAACGATTGAAGCTTCTGTCAAAGCTCAGGGAAATTTCATTAAATATAACAACACTTCCTATATTGTATAGTATCATCTTTTTGCTTGATTATCTGCAGGTGAGAACATTCATTTTCATATTTAGTAAACTAGCTACAAGAGCTTAAAAGTTTAGTTAATTAGCTGTTATAGAGTCATTTATGACATGATCTTTAAAGTTTGAACATAAAATCATTAGTAAATCCTATTTAATATTAAAAAACCCCTACCAATCCCATCATTTTTGTATGTGTTCTCTGAGATCTTTTACAAAGCTCAGGGCTAAGACTCAATCTGTCCTGAAAAGTCTACTACGGACACTTTGTAGTAGATGCATTGCAATTTCTTCTGCTGCTTTAGCTGCGTAGGAGCAAAAAACTGCAAATAAAGAACATTTTCTCCCCAAATAAAAGTATTTTCAATTTACTTTTGAAGACCTACAAAGGGTATTTAATTGAACCATGTATTAAATGAATGATTTAACATTATGCGTTATGATTGTTTATATCATAACCAGTTCCATAAACTATAAAGATATTTTTCCTCTGAAAACATGAAGGGCTACAGTTGAATGGCTATACGATAAATAATGTTTCTTCTTTGTTCAAACACTTAGTGCACGTAGTAGACACAAACTGATCAACAGTGAGCTTAGACTGCATACACTTTATGTGTAAAACCAGTGGTCTGTCATGTTTGATTTCAAGTAAAGTGCCTTAAACCTGAAACACTTTGCAACTAGTTATTTATTGACTACCGATTCATCCAATATGTGGCTCCTGTTATCTCTGGAACTCCTGTTCTAGTCTGTTAACACTTCCAAAAGTAATCACTCAGATCTGCTGTTCTGAGAAGGATGCTAACTAAATAACCTATTTATAGATATTTTAAACCCCTTTTCCCCCTCACAAGTTACATGGTAAGCATATGTAGAAATTTCTGTACAGTTATGTGAAAATCCCTGCTGTAGAGTAAGTTTTAGTATACTACAAAAATATTTACAATGCAATGATTGCATTTTGTTTAATTCATAAAGAGTTGACTAGTCAAGATTTGATTTTTGGAAGTATCAGCAACTGTTTATCCCTCAGAGTTTAGTAACTGAGTGATAAGTTTTAACTGCATCAAATGCATGGCTGAATAACAAGACCAAGTACCTTGCTGAGAATTATTTCGGGTGCCAGGTATTCTGGAGTCCCACATAACGTCCAAGTTCTTCCTTTTACTCTTTTTGCAAAGCCAAAGTCCGTGACCTGTCATCGGAAGAAATAAATTGACTGTAAGTGCATATCTACAAAGAAATTCTAAGTTAAGTACTTTTGAAATATTTTGGAAAGCTATTTTATACAGAGGAAAAATTTGTTTCTCAAATCTCATAGTATCACATAGCCAGATGTACCTTTAGTAGTCAGTCCTTTTGATACTTCTAATTCAGCAAGGTAAGAGTTTTCTTATGATAACATTAATAACTAACACAAAATATCTATTTTCCCCTGACACGAGCTTCTATTTATACTGTAAAAAAATCAGCAGGCACTATGGCTTACTAATCTTCCACATGTACTGCAATTGCATGAATAACTTTTCTTGTACTTTTCACATCAGACTGTTTATACTTCTGAAAGTTTAAAGAACATGAATATGAACAAGATATTTATCTTTTCCTTTAGTTAACAAATAAATGAATCACAAAAGGGTCAAAATATCCTCCAGTCTTGTAAATTTAGAATTTATTGCATAAGCGTATAAAGGTTATAAATAAAATTAGTGTGGGAATAAGACAACATATAAGAGGTCTTCCATAAACTTCTGATTCTGAGTATCTTTGAAAGCGTCATCAAAGTCAAGCTTGTTTATTTGAGGACTGGGAGGAAATGTAGCAGTAACTGTATTCACAAATGGCAAGTTCTTGGCCATTATAAATTCTTCCTTCCACTCGTCATATTTTCTGCAGTAAGTTTTCAGAATTTTGTATGTGATATCATCCTCTCTGTTGTTTTTCCTCGACCGTGTTGTGGAATATGTACAGAAGCCAGAGAGTTACATGTGAAATTCTGGGATCAGTTTCAAGATATCAAGTATATGCTTGTTTGGGGATCTGTTTCTTTTGTTTCCTCCTTCTTGGTATTATTTTCAACCCATTCCCTGAGAAACATACGTGTTGTGTAATTAGCTATGATAATCATGGCTAATTACACAATAACCTGTGCTGATGTTTCTCATACTCTAGCGTCACAATTAAACAAGCCAAACTCAAACTATCAAGGCAGCTTTTGCTTCGTTTTTGGCAGAAACAACAGCAATGACAGCTGGAACTGAATGGAGAGGGTGACATGCTGACTAGACAGATCTCCTTCAGTCAGCAAAGAATCATTTCTGTGTTTGTGAATGCATATCAGTCTAGTTAAGAAGAATATACTGCAGACATGGGACAAACAACAATGGTTTTAAAAATTCAAAAAGACAATGAACAGAGTTGCTAAATAAAATTTAGCTGGAACTGCAGTATCAGCATATGAACACAAACTCTCCCCTCTGTTGAAAAGCAGAAGCAAACCAATGTCACATGGAAAGAGTTACTGCTGGACCCATCATCATAAAAACATACTTTTGCATATAGAGAGTCACCAATTCTGGAAAAAGCCGTTCATAGCTTTACATTAATGGTGCTCCCCAATCACATTAACAGAACTTGTATTTCTCTTCTCCTACAGTGTTATTTTGTTCTCCATGCCAAATTATTTTACAGTTACGAACAACATGAGATGTAAATCTTTTCCACTTCTCTCAAACATTAATTTTATATATTTTCCTGTTAGATTCCGCTATGGTAAAACGTGACACAATAAAGAAAGAAGAGCTTCTACAGTTTAAGGACGGCGAAGCATTGCAGAGTGCTTGCTGCTGTATACCACCTTCCCATTTGCCATTTAGATCAAAACCATAGGAAGATAAGGAGGTGCTGTGAGAGGCTGTTGTAAAATCAGCAGCACTGCAATTCTGATCTGATCTCAACTCAGCTATTATTCCAGATGTGCTTAGGAAGTTAGGACTCTTTAAGGGTGAGATTCATCCGACTGAAATTAAGTACTATAGCATCGGTATTGACATCTAAACTGGTTATCCTAAACTACTTACACAGATGACACAGAAAACCAGACATTTTGGGGCACCTTTCGTCTTGTTCTAGAGCCGACATATAAAATAGGTCAGATGAAGAGAGTCATGTAATCACCTACTTCTCACCACAGACCCCAAGGGAAACCTTGACAACTCGCTCAACTGCAGACAGCTCCACTGCACATACCAAATTTTAGTCAGAGGAAGTACAATCCAATGGTTTTAAACATTACTAAGCAGTAGGGCATTTTAATGCTCCCTGAATACACGCTAACAGGCCAACCGCCTTCAGATCATTTATGCTAAACACATTTGTTAGAATTACCTAAGCCTACACTGTAAGGCAAGACTCCACTCCCTAAATATATGAAGAACATCATACCTGGATATATCCTTGCTGATCAATTAAAAGATTTTCAGGCTTTAGATCTCTGTAGATGAGGTCTAATGAATGGAGGTACTCAAATGTTAGCACTATCTGAGCTGCATAAAACCGTGCATGTGGTTCACTGTGAAAAATTAAAAGAATATTAAGTATCTCAATGCTATGCTAAGATACTGAAACAAACATGTAACTGCCAGAGATAGACAAACTAAGCATCTTAACTGGTTCTTTTACTATGTAAGAAAAAAAAAGCACAAACAGCAAACATTTTACAGTTGATGCATTTATTCTCTAAATTTAATTGAAGCTAAAATACACATGCAAATCAACATGAACGCATCCCACAATACAGAGCTTAGAGTTTAAATGTTACTTTTAGAGTTTATCATCAATGTCAATGACAACACCCATCGGAATTCCAAGATTCTATTGTGCATAATCCTGAATGTCTGTATTAACTGACCGAAAAATAAGTTTTTTTCTTGCCTAGCTCGTTTAAGTCCACTGAAAGAGAGGTAAATTAAATGCACTTACCCCTTCAGAATTTTTTCTTCAATACTAACAAATTTTATAAACGCATCTTCCCAAATTAGCAATATAAGCCTTTTTAAAGCAATAATGTCATTAATACTCTTACCTGAACCTTCCGATTCTTCTTAGATGTGAAAACATTTCACCACCAGGAACATACTCCATTACCATGTATAAATTAGAATTGTCCTAAGGAAGCAAGTAAACACACACAAATATATATTAGGCATGCTATAGTCTCTAAAATTCCTACATACAGTATGTTTTATTAAAGAATGAAAATAAAAAATTGTAGCCATCCAATGCCCTTAAATGTAACGCAAACAGCTAGAAATTCTCAAAAAAGTGCAGATACGTGACAAAAGGAGCATCATATATCTCAAGAAACCTATTTTAAAGTATATTTGAATAAAGATAATTAGTGAGTTCCTGAGATAGAATGGCGTGTAAGTGACCTGAAGGAAGAGAGGATAAGATGCCTCCTGCAAGACAAGACCTTGCACTCTTAAAAGTTCAGAATTGATAGCCTGAGGTATTCTCGCATCTCACAGACCCCAGCCCCGAATCTCAAAATTATAAAGATTAAGGTAGAACATGTTGATTCATTTTAAATGGTATTAAAAAAGAGGAAAAAAAAAAAAAAAAGGGAAATATATAGAGGATGCATATCACTGGATAAACTACAAAAATAGACAATTTCTTTAGAGACTGACTAGTAAATATTGTCATGTAATTAGAAGCTAACATTAAAATTCTTTCCTTCATGGTTAAGATTGCCATTAAGACCTGCCTCAGGTATAAATCTCAAGCAAAAAAATCTGCAAACACTTACAAATTTACCATTCCATATATTGATGCAGAAATATATCCTTTGGCTTCTCTCAAGACAGAATAATGCCTAAAAGCTCCCTGCTGTACAAAAGCCAGTTTCCATCCAAAACAAGAGAAATCTCTAAGAGTTTAGTTTAATTTAATTTTTACTTCTTTATTTGGAGATAGCCTTTCAATCATCACCTGATGAATCAAGGTGTGTCCAAGTGTGCACACAAGTGCAGGAACTCCTGCTCAAAACCTGGCAACATTGCCATGTGAAGCATCTTTGAAAACAGAAATACTTAAACTAATGTACTGTAAAAGTTAAATGTTTTAATATCTAAAGTTTAAGCACACAATTCCCTGAAATCCAAACACCTACTTTCAAAATGATGATTACCTTAAAAGAATACTCCAGTTTTACAAGGAAAGGAAAGTTCACTGCTTGTAATATTCTCTTCTCATTCAGTGTGTGTTCTATTTGCTTCAGTTTGACGACCTAGGAGAGAAAAAACCAATTTTCAATTTAAGCCTGATATTTTATAGTTGTTGACAAATTTTTCAGTGTAAAACAGTTAGTTGACAGCAAGCTTGTAACTTTAGAGAAAATGAAAAGCCTTATGGATTACTAGTACAATAACAGTGCCAAGAAAGGATTAAAAAGTCTAATGACATTTTAAAGAGCAATATTCACGCAACACAGTTTGTAGATAACTCTAGAAACTGTTTCTTACTATATGCTGAGTACAGGAATCAGTAAAGAAAAGATCTCTTTACAATTCTCTGTTTTCTTAGGAATTGCTTGCATTTGTAATGGAGATACTTCTGCAGCCAGATGACAGTTCAACAAATTCCATTTGATCTTTGGACTCTTTGCTAAGAAAGGCAGGAAACTGTGTCAGATGCGTTTTATTATAAATTTTGTTATGTGTGAACAGGAGTAAACTGACTTGTTTTATACAGCTCGCATATGAGTGAGAAGACCAAGGAGAATACAAATTCAAAATTTCCTTTCTTACAAACAATAGTTACTTCTGTCAGACATTTCAATGGGTTTTGCTTTTCTGCTTAGCAAACTACTTAGCAAAAGTATTAAAAAAATTAGATGCTACCTTCTTGGAATCCCTTATAATGCTAAGCTGCTAACAAGGCAGCAAGTGGCAGATTTCTGGTCACTGCTCTTTCTCAGTAATTAACAATTGGTTTCCTTGTGTTAAATCCCAATATTGCATAACCAATTCTTGCCATTTTACTTAATTCATATTGCACAATTTATCTATAACTCATTTTGAGAATGGCATGATTTCCAAGTAAAGTTACTTACCCTGACTGAAACTGTGTTAAATTTAACTTTTAGATGCAAAAGGTAGTACCTATAAAAAAACCACTACTGTTTTGAAATAAATGTCATACAAAAGAAATAGTGATTTTAAAATATGAAATCTCTTTTGAATCGCAGATCTTTAGAGACCAAGTAAAAATTTTGCTCAAATCAGCCCATTTGTGGGAAGTGTCCCTTTCATCCCTAAAAAGCTATGGTACTGGAATTATCTTGACCATCAAAGCAATCAAGCTAAGGTTTTAGTTTGATATTGTGAAGTGTGCAGCTGCAATGCTACACAAGACACTACCACCCTTTCTGCATCTTCTGCTGGTTAGATACTGGAGGGTGATGGCAGCAATACCATAGGCATAATATCAAACCGGAGCCTCAGATAACACGGCTTTGCTCCCATTTAAGCTCAACCTCAGGGCTGTCCAATGACAGCTTCTTGTAGATCAAATGATATCTAGTAATGGCAGATTTTTCAACAGCTTATTTATGACTGAGCTTTTATTAACAACACTTTCCTTCCAAAACCAATTATGTAACAAAAGTAGTCAAGCAATGGTATGTTACAGCCTTCCGAAATCAAGGCAGACAAATAAAGGATTAACAACCCTACACACAAAACAAAACTACTGGCTACTACATGAACATCTATTGCCTTTTTTTTTTTTTTATATCCTAATAAACCAAACGTAAGATTGGATTAACAGAGACACACAATATGCTTTCTCTTGTTTCAAGTAAAACGTAAATGAAAATTACAGGCAGCCTGCACACTGTCTAATTTCAGACATCTATATTTTCTGTAATATATGAGAGATAGAAATGTGTTCTCTCTACACAATCTCCTATTTTTTTACCAATTTGTAGAAGTTACTAATAAAACACTAATATATTTCAAATATAATATATAAATACATAATTATTCATGCTGAGTTTAAAAAAACCCATGCATTTCATAAAGGAACACTTGAGATAGAAGATTATAGACAAAATCATCTGATTTTCTAATAGAAGACTGATACCTGTATGCAAACATTTTCAATCCTGTGAATGTTTTACTACAATTCTACTGCCATCATTAAAAATGTGCATTTTTGCTTTTTCCAGATAAATTGGAAAGCTATAGCTATAGAATTATTTTACACTGAGAGGTAGTAATGAGTTTAATTAACTTTTTTTTTTAAATTCTTCAGACTATTTTTATGGCAGCTTTCTGAAGAAGTAAGATGTAATTTTCTAAACTGCTCCAGTGATGAGGACTCAGCCATTCATGAGAAAGAGTTCAAAGAAAAACAGTTGAAAAATCTGAAATTTGATGATGGGCTCCCTGCACAGCAGTGAGATGCTCATCACACCTCGTTTTACAGCAACGCTCCCCGCAGGATGTCACCAGTCATACTGAGGTAATAACGAGGTAAAGTTCTACATGGGTGAAAATGGTCTGGGCTGTCTTTCAGTTGTCCTATGTTGGAAAGTCTTTTTAATTTAATTGGGTATTTAAAAAAAAAATAAATGTTAGAAACCATCATTATAGGAGAATGCTGAAGTTGCAAAAAATCGAGCTTTTCCAATTGAAAAAATAATGCCAGAATCGACACTAAAAGGCAAGTTTACTTTAGTTTCGTCTTTTCTGACCACTATAAAGCAGTATTTAATTAAATGACACATTATTCAAGGTCCAGGACTCAAATCATGTATAAAGAATACTGGAACTGCAACTCAAGGAAAATGGTTTGATTATGTCACTGCTATAGCGCCATTATATAAAATTACTCAGAAACGTGATAATGCATAAGTGCAAGAGTCGACATCAAGGCTACACTGACTTGCATTTTGTTAGCTGCTGATTATTAAAATTCTCTTTGCCAGACTAATATTTTCTTAATATGATTTTGTTATATAGCAGCAAAGTTATGTATAGTGCCTTGCAAATTAAGAAGAGCTCCTATATTGAGGACCTTAGAATCTACTAATCTAAATAATGTACTTCTGAAAAACTTGTCAAAACCATTAAAAACTGATTTTATTGATACATTTCTTAAAAATACTTCTTAGCATTCTGGAATTCTACTTTATTTAAAATTTCAACTTTATCAAACGACACCACTTACTTCTAAGAGCAATAATAAACTGTTAAAAAAAATCAGGCTGGAGTAAAAATACAGATTTAGACTACAGCACTTAAGTTTCCAACTCAGAAAATGTCTATTGTGTGACAGCTGTTCTGAGAGAGACACTACTGCTCTACCTATGCAGTTACTATAGATGCAACAGGATTATTACATAATTATGCATACAAAACGTAATATCTCATGGGATCAAGAACGGAAAAGAAATTATTAATGCAAGAAATTTGTTAAATTATGGTTCAGAAATGAAAATTTTGAAAATTTCTGATCCAAAGAATCTTCCAGAATTTTCATTTAATCTGCAAAAATTTATTTATTTATTTAAGTACAGAACTACGTTTTGCTTTTGCCAGAGAATATATAGGCCACCTTACAAAAGCTAAGCAAAGAATTTAACTGATAACATTTTATTAATTCCTTGGACACCACTTAGACCCTCTTTAGCCTGCCATTAATGGCATTGAAGAATTCTTACAATGGCCAATTACGAAGTCCCAACAACTGAATCTGCTGGCTAAAAAAGTAAGTTAACTGTTTAAAGTATCACCAGTATTCATGTACGATAAACAGAAGCACAGTAAGTGAAACAAACTTTAGCCACAGTTACCAGATCTTTGTCTACATTAAACTCTCTTGTACCATAAACCCCGCTATAAATTACACCAACCTTCTGTTTGTCCAGTATCTTCATAGCGTAATACTGTTCTGTGGATTTATGTTTCACCATCATAACTCTCCCGAATGACCCTGTTCCAAGGGTTTTTTGCCTCTCAAAATCATCTAGGCCAGCAGTATTCTACATGTACAAGGACATAATGACGTTATTTACAATTTAATACCCAAAGACAATTTTAACTGTATGAATTGAATTCATTTATGAAAGAAAATTTAGTAAAGTCACACTGATCAAAGACAACTATAGCCCACTATACTGTTGTTAGTTTCATGCCTGCCAAATTTTAATAAGAGATTTTACATTGCACTCATTATACCCGAAAATGACTTAACTGAATTGTATCAACGTTTAACAAGGCTAAATATAAGGTCCTGCACTTGTGTCACCACAGCCCCATGCAATGCTACAGCCTTGGGGAAGAGTGGCTGGAAAGCTGTCTGGTGGAAAGGACCTAAGGGTATTGGTCAACAGCTGGCTGAATATGAGCCAGCCATGTGCCCAGGTGGCCAAGAAGGCAAATAGCATCCTGGCTTGTATCAGAAATAGTGTGGCCAACAGGACTAGGGAAGTGATTGTCCCCCTATATGCAGCACAGGTGAGGCTGCACCTCGAATCCTGTGTTTAGTTTTGGCCCCTCACTACAAGACAGACATTGAGATGCTGGAGTGTGTCCAAAGAAGGGCAAGGAAGCTGGTGAAGGGTCTAGAGCACAAGTCTTACTAGGAGCAGCTGAGAGAACTGAAGTTGTTTAGCCTGGAGAAAAGGAGGCTGAGGGGAGACATTATCATTGTCTACAACTACCTGAAAGGAGGTTGTAGCAAGGTGGGTGTTGGTCCCTTCTCCCAAGCAACAAGCGATAGAACAAGAGGAAACTGCCTTAAGTTGTGCCGGGGGAGGTTTAGATTGGATATTAGGAAAAATTTCTACATCAAAAGGGTCATCAAGCATTGGAACAGGCTGCCCAGGGAAGCGGTGGAGTTACCATCCCTGGAGGTATTTAAAAGACGGGTAAATGTGGTGCTTCAGGACACGGTTTAGTGGTGGACTTGGCAGTGTTAGGCTAACAGTTGGACTTGATGATCTTCAAGGTGTCTTCTGACTTAAACAATTCTATGATTTTTATAATTTGTCCATACAGATGACACAAAATTAATAAGAAACATTTAACATACAAATAAATAATCCTCTAACGCTTCATAAACAAGAACATTAGAACATGCAAAAATCTCAAGCTCTAGAGGCAGTTCTACTTGAGAGCTGTTTGGAGAGCATATCACTGAGTAAATCTTCTCAGATATCAATCATCATAACATTTCAAATGATGCTTTAAAAATGACTCTTCCCCAAAAACCCAACCCCCCAAGTTCAACTTTTAAAAGATTTCTCTCTAACAAGCTCTTTAACTTGCTCCCGAGCCCCATGCAATAGACTTAATACCCTTAATACCCCTTAATATCATGGGGGAAATTATTAACATGGTAAATTACAGACATGCCAACACTTAGTGTTATAAAAAGCCAGCTAAGACATGCCAATAGCTTTTGAGTCTTTTCATGTTGATGGCAAGCATAATTCTCAGTAACAGAAAGCTGTTTTTCAGTATGAGCATTTCATCAGCTCAAATTTGTAGAAGACTCAAGAGTCTTTCATGAACTTCAATGACAAAACACAATAACAAAGGAAACTGCTTTAAAAATTGCATTAAACTTATTTCTGTTTTCTGCACTGCTCATTACAGATTGATAAAACACTGATAACATTATCCAAAAAATGCAACTGAGAAAATTATTGAGTGCTTAAACGACTGATACCTGAGGGGGGCTTTCCCATTTTCTTAAAAAGTCTTCTTTGGCTTTGGCTAGGAACTCTTTCACTGAAAACACACACAAAAAAAGTACATTTTAATTAATTTAATTTATCATAGATGCCATGGAGATGCTTTGTTAACAAAATATGTAAACCTCATTATCAACTTATTTCTTCAACTCCTAATATGCTATTTTCACCACGTATGAAAGCAAGCACCAATGCCTCTAGAACTTCTACAATATCTCCAGGTGATCTCTAAGCTTTCTGGAGTAACTACATCATTCTACACAAATTACTTAAACTATATCAGCTCTAATAACTCACAATACTGTATACACAAGCAGGCTTTAAGGTGATGTAAGACATTCTTTATTCAATTGGGAAAAAACCACGAACACCTGATAATTATAAATAGCCCTTCCACAAAGATAGACTTTTAATCTATTTTTGTTAAATAAAAGTTACATTTTCTTTCAACTGATTGAGCGTAATGTCAATCCCATTGCTTCCCACCCCCACCCCCCACCCCATCACCTTTATTTAAAGACTGTTTGCAAGCTCAAGTACCAAATGGACAGCATTACTGCAAGCAAAGACAAAGCACAAGGCTACAACGACACTGCACATTAGACATGCCCACAGTCAGAGAATATATATTTTAAATATTGATTTTATTTCAATTTTCCATTGAAATTGAAGGAACGTATAATAGCAAAATTCTGGATGACTGTTTAAAATGCGCACCAGATTTTGTTCAGATCATCTTTCAGCTGTTCTATTTTTTGAATATCAATTATCAGCCAGATCAATGTACATTACTTAATGCACAGTCATAGAATCACAGAATGGTTAGGGTTGGAAGCGACCTCAAAGATCATCTATTTCCAACCCCCAATGGGTTATAAATGTCATAATGGGAGTCATAAATAGGAGGTGTTTTAGCCATTGCTTTGGTTCTGAAAGACTCACGGAATCAAGAGGAAAATATCATACTGGTTTTGTGTTCTCTGAATCATTTCACATAATATAACGTTAGCAACAGCGGATTTTGTCTACTGCAATGTTCCACCACAAGCAATTTCTAAAAATACTCAATGTGCCAATATTATTCTGGTCAATATGTAGAAATATATGTTTTTGCAACTGTTTTTAACCTTCTGATAGTCACAAAATTTAGGTTTCTAAGGGGTTGTAAACAATCATCTGATGAATCGGAATTTTTCTGTACTTTTCAGATTATATTACTGTCTACACAGAGAACTTTTAAAAAATTCTCTTATCACTCTATTATCAGAACAATTTCAGCAACAGTAAAAACAATGCCAGCCCTGGAGAAGACTGGTTGTGAATTTTTTTTTGTTTTCCATTTTTTTTTCCTCCTCTCATGTGTGCTATGGGACTCAACTATCACAAAATACTCAAGGGAGGTTTGTGGCTCCCACTGTCACTGGTTCTGATGGAGCAGCATCAATATAATGGACATTTCAGAAAAATTGTCAAAAATTCTGGCAGACTTTAAGGCTACAAAAGTGTTTAAAGCATGATATCAACTCTGTAATTTTATTTTAAGAGAAACGAGCAATATCAGAGAGGGGGAACATATTTGTTACCCCAAACTTCTGATTAAGTAGAGTAAGAAAAACATAGTTTATATCAAATGAACTATTTTAAATTGGCATTAAAACTCACTGAGAGTTAAAAATATTTTAGTAGGTAATCAGTAAAATGTTTGACATATTTATCCTGAGTGGGGAAAATATTCCATTGTATTTAAATTATGGGGGTTACTCATGTAATGACTTTTAATGATCCTAATTTGAGAAAAGGACAGTATTTCCTGTGGCATAAAATAATTTCTCAACACAAAAAAGGGAAGCTAACAATGTCCAAATTCATGCTTGATGATCCTTCTTCCATTAGGAGAACAGAGATTACTTGATAAAGTGATGACTACTGACAAAGTGTTTTAAACATCAACTTATGTCAAAGTAGTATGAATGTTATTTCCTCTTAAGGACAAGAAAAAAATCCTAGAGATGATCATTAGGATCACTAAAAAGCTGAGCCTTCAACGTTAACTTTAGCACTATATAGCAAAACCAAAACATGAAATAATCCATCTGATTTTTTTTCATGCTATTACAGTACGTATGTCTTAAATAGCCCTCATGCTATCTCCATTGTTCATATAAATAAATATTTTGTTTCCACACATTTTGCGCTGAAATATAATTATTCAGTATTTATAAAAATATACTATGACATTTACATGTAGTCATCTTTGTCTCTGTTCTACTTATGGAATAAAGAATGGTGTTAATAAAAAAAAAGAGAACCAGCTGGAAATATTCAAATTGTGGAAGCATGAGAAAAATCTCTTATATCTAGAATTAGCCACAAACTCTCCTTCAACAAAACTTCTACCTTACTCTACTTTACTTTTGCTCTTTTTTTTTTGGAAAGCAGCATTGAATACATACTTCTAAAATAAAGCCACCTAATGGCACTAATTTATCTTAAAATCTCACTCTTAAAAACAATTCCGTGTTCTGTGGTGTGTTTTATTAGAATTCCATTTTCTTCCTAATGAGAAAGTGGGTCAAATTTTGCCTGGTTGTCATTTTCAGAGGTCACCTGGGCTCCTACACCAAAACACAATTCAGCAGGTGATTTCAAACAGAATTTTCACAACTTAAGTGTATACACTCCAGTCACTTCTGAAAACAGGACTTAGAATTTTAAACAGGTAAGTACTTCTGAAAATCGTATCTTGATCACAAAACATTAGCTCTTGCTACAGGAGAACACATTTCATTACTATTTTTCAAGCATAGAATCAAAAGTTATGCCAATCGGATAGTAGTGGCCATTGATAATATTGTGATGATGCAAACAAATAGGTTTATTAGATGACTTGGAAGTTTTCCTTAAGTGCACATTTTTAGCCACTTTACATCGTTACGATGTGAATCTTGTTTGCTTTTCTAGTCTTTAAACTGTTTCTAGCATCTGTGACTTTGGGCACTAATGAAGGAATGAGCATACCAAAAGTCTCTATTGGTTCCCCAAGGGTTTGCAGGAACATTCACCCACACAGATGAGATGATGAAGAGAGGAAAGAAAGAGAAGAAAAAAAAAAAAGTTTTATGCATTACCACAACAAACACATAGAATAGAAAACACAAATACATTCCACCCTTTCCCCTCCCCACTCAAGAACGGACCCTGAAACAAACCAGCCCTTTCCCACACAGACAGAATGACTCATGCTAAGTCACAGAATGTTTGAGCAAAGAAAAGAGAAATAAAACCAAAGGCAGCTAAATTCAGTGTGAAAAAAAGATGATGCATCACAGAAATAAGCACAGCTTACAAAACTTCAGGAGATCAAGCTGACATCTTTAATAATTAATCTATTCTAAGACACATACATCCAAGGAACTGTTGCTAACAAAAGTCTATCTATCTTCATCGCAGGATGCTGGATCACAATAAAACCTGTAATCGGGTGATCTTCCCACTACTTAGTGCTTTGTTCCAAAAGACATCATGTGTGAATTTCATGACATGTGGTGGATAGCACAGAAATGGCAAGCAGTGTCCAAAAAACATTCGTAATCAAATTTCAGTCCAGCTACCCAATAACTGCAACAAAACCCCTTGAAAAGTCTGAACTGCACAGCTGAAGTTGCTGTATGCAAACTGGAATGCATACAGGAATCCTGTACAGTCACCATACAACTATGATTTAATTTTTAAGACTGTCAGAAAAAGCATCCAAGAAAGAAATGTTGATACACAGGTTCCCGTAAGCACTGAAGAGCAAGGATGGCTCATATATGGCCAAGTGAAGATGAAGAGCGTATGCAAAGACCACCAAACAGACCCTATTCAGACTGGTTTCACTGGTGCAGCAGAAGTTGAAACGAAGCAGGCTGAAACAAAAGGAGGAAAAGCTGCTGCTCAAGAAAGTAAGGTGCTGAAAGGAAAGGGCAAAGCAAGAGTAACAGCACTGGCACAATGAGGGCCACAATAGTGGCCAAAACAACTGGAAGCATCAGGAAGGACACCAGCTGGAACTGGGGAGGATGCACAAGTAGTCCAGGGATTAGGTAAGCACAAACACACAGTGTAAGTCTAGCTCTTGATGACCAGCAAGAGCACTTGTTGGCAGGAGAAGCAAGTTTTATGCAATGCAAACACCCAAAGCACATAGTAGGGAACCTGGGGGGATTCAGAAAAAGGTAGTAAAAAATGAGGTAGTGGCTGAGGAGTCACAACTGAAAGAACTGAGGCAGGTTTATGACTGCTGCCTGCTTCTGTTCAAACCCTGGTCAGAAGAAACGCTACAGGTGTGCACACAGCTGGACAAGATACAAGCTATCCCCTTGTGCAGCACAGGCACTGCGAGACTGGCCCTGCGCAGAGCTGTGCGCGGAACCAGGGCAATGTGGGGATAAGCAGGAAAGTCTGCTGGAGGAGATTTCTGAGGGAAGTGGAAATCAAGAGGTTCCTAGATAATACTGGTATACAAAGAGGTATTAAAAAGAAAATCAAAACCAAAAGCCAAGCCAAACAAATGAAAAAACCCTACCAGACACAAAACCAAAACACCCTGAGCCCATCCCCAAGCAGCAGGAGATTCATTACCTAACAGCATATTCACATAATGCACAATATTTTCGTTTATCAATTAACTTTTGTAGTAAACTTAGCAAACTTATAAAACGAATTATTGACAAATGGTTTGCGAGCATTATAAGGAGTACTCTGGCCTAGAACAGTTTAAGGTTGAGTGAGTCAAAGGAAAGCTCTTGGAAAAAAATTAAAAGGTTTGGGACCTCTCAGTTGCAGGGTTGCAATGACAGCAGAGGAAAAGGCTCCCTCAGTGGATGATACAGTCCTGAAGAGTTACCATGAATTACTTTGCCTTTCTCCCACCTCCCACATGCACTGTATTTGTTATTCTCAAGCACATCTCCCACAAGAGCCAGCAAGCCAGAATTTTTTTTTTTTTTCCCTTGGTGGGGCGGGGGAGTCGGGGGAAGAGTAAGTATTTGGATA